CTCCATCCCCCCTACACTCTAGTTATCCCAAGCCATGCGCCCTCTATCCCCCCCACACTCTAGTTATCCCAAGCCATGCGCCTCTATCCCCCCTACACTCTAGTTATCCCAAGCCATGCCTCTATCCCCCCCCCTACACACTCTAGTTATGCCATGCCTCTATCCCCCACACTCTAGTTATCCCAAGCCATGCGCCTCTATCCCCCCACACTCTAGTTATCCCAAGCCATGCGCCTCTATCCCCCTACACTCTAGTTATCCTGTGCCCCTCTATCCCCCTACACTCTAGTTATCCCCAAGCCATGCGCCTCTATCCCCCCCACTCCTAGTGTTATCCCAAGCCATGCGCCTCTATCTGGTAGCGAAAAAGAAAAGTAGATTTTAGTTTAAACAGCATGTGGTAACTTACTTTTTATTGTCCCCCCCTCAAAAAAAAATCGTACATTGTCATACAGAAAATAATACAATATGTTGTAACTTCACACAAAACATATTTTATACCACATAATTCGTTGTATTCCATTTTGGATGAAGTAAATATATCCCAGTTAATTAACAGTAACAACAAGCACATCAGTGAGACACCATCAAACACAATAATATGTATATATATGTATTCTTTTCAGAGGAGGCAGGATCACTGGTCTGTGTAATATTAAGTTTACTCTCCACTTCAATAACTTTTTATAACCTTGTAGGTAGTGAGTCAACGAGATAACTGCATATGTTCCAAATTTTTCGAAATCTAAACCATTCTCACACCTCTCTGGCCTTCTTCACCGCCTCTTTTGTTTTCTGCTCCACCTCCATCTCCTGAACAGTATGTTTCGGAGATTCTCAATAGGACTGCAGTCGCATCCTTTTGACGGCCAGTCTATTAAAATATGTCGTGGGTGGCATCAAACCATTTTCTAGCTGCCCTGCTGGTGTGTACTGGGGACTCGTCGTGCACAAAGTAGATAGACTGAAGCCCCAGGATGGCATACGCGCTCACTGAAGGGAGCAGGAAGGTCTCTAGTATTGGTCACCATCCAGGTTCCCCTCAATGGTCACCAATTCTCCCGGACCTCCCCACCACATCCATCCATGGGGGGGAACTGTCACCCTACTGCTTCTTGTTCTTTCTCGGGTGTTGTAAGGTGTAAACCTTGTGTTTTTCTTCCGCCACCATTGGCGGCGTAGGGCAGATAACACCTCCGTAATTCACCCCACGCTCCACATTAACCACAGTAAACCTGAGGCCTAATTGTCAATGGACCTATGTGCTTCTGTCAATGTTTCTTTATGTGCGGGAATGCAGCATCTTAAACCAGCCTCCCTCAGCCGCTGTCTGCTGGCTGTCGTTTGACAAGGTGATTCTGTGTCTCTTGTCAAGGTGACGGCTGTCGTCAGTCGACGTGTCTCTGCTTCCGTCAGTCGACGTGTCTCTGCTTCCGTCAGTCGACGTGTCTCTGCTTCCGTCAGTCGACGTGTCTCTGCTTCCGTCAGTCGACGTGTCTCTGCTGCCGTCAGTCGACGTGTCTCTGCTTCCGTCAGTCGACGTGTCTCTGCTGCCGTCAGTCGACGTGTCTCTGCTGCCGTCAGTCGACGTGTCTCTGCTGCCGTCAGTCGACGTGTCTCTGCTGCCGTCAGTCGACGTGTCTCTGCTGCCGTCAGTCGACGTGTCTCTGCTGCCGTCAGTCGACGTGTCTCTGCTGCCGTAAGTCGACGTGTCTCTGCTGCCGTCAGTCGACGTGTCTCTGCTGTCGACGTGTCTCTGCTGCCGTCAGTCGACGTGTCTCTGCTGCCGTCAGTCGACGTGTCTCTGCTGCCGTCAGTCGACGTGTCTCTGCTGCCGTCAGTCGACGTGTCTCTGCTGCCGTCAGTAGTCTTTCATCCTGTTCAGGCGTCCTTGGTGACTCCACGTGACCTCGTGCCATGACATCCATTCTTGAAAGTTAAACTAAATGGTTGTATGTTGGCTAATATTAACCTCTCCCCCCTGTCTGGTCGGTCCAACGTTTACGTTCTGGAGGATTTGTTTCGAGATAGTATTGGGAGAAGACATAATTTATATTGTTTCCCTCAAATATAGTGGTAGTTCTGTTATTAATAATGTGCCTCTCATCCCATCCCGATTCATCGCTTGATTTCTATATGATCCAGAGTTGCCTTGATAATTTGTCCTAAATATATTGTTGTGGCGAAGAGCCTTGAGTATCTCCAGTATCAGTGCAGTGTGTGACCTCCTTAGGATTTAAACAGCAATCAAACCACTGTAACGATATACAGTACTAACTGATATACTCGTACTTATAAACACGTGTTTAACATGGGGACAGGTAGGAAGGCAGACTGGCAGGTATGTAAGGCTTCCTGGGCACAAAAATAAAATGAGCGGAGAAACAGCTTCTGAAGTTTGACACTGGGGATGACAATGGTCACATCAAGCACGAAAATCTTGAAAAGTTATTAGAATTATTCAATAAGATAATTATGGACAGCTGGAATATTTCATAATTCATGGTGTTTCTCTCTTGTCATATGTGTTGCATAATGGATCCTGTCATAGAAAGAATTATTAAAAGTTGGTAAATGTAATTTTCAAATTCGACCAATTTACTAAATTACTACAACAACAGGAGCTTACTGAACCATTAAGTAAACCTTGAACAGGATACAGATTAAAGAGGGTTTGATTGATTTAAAGTCTTTTAATGACAAGTTTTATTTGACACAAGAGAAGTCAAATGACTTAACGTGTTGAACTGATCAGGGCTTAATGCTACCAAGCAGCAAGGCATTTGCTTTATTTCTTATATTGATCAAGAATTACCGATCATTAGTTCCCATTTCAGTCTCGAGACTTTGAATGGACATTGTTCGTAGATGACTGATCTCTCTTGTATAGGTATTCTTTTTTCAAGGTCTGCCCGTCGAGTAGGTACAGTAGGTACAGTAGGTACAGTAGGTACAGTAGGTACAGTAGGTGCAGTAGGTACAGTAGGTACAGTAGGTACAGTACAAGTCGGCCTTATGGCTGATATTTCTTCCACCAAAGCTAAAGATTTTTGTGTTGTCAAGAATATGTTATAGATATTGAAAACCACTAAATATTTAGATGGCAAGTTTATTCACATGAAAAATTCCATAGTAAATTTTATGTTGAAACTTTGATAAAATATTAATATGGAAAATTCGTGCTAACAGCTAATTCAGTACCGAATTATTCAAATCTGATGCTCCATAGTACCGTACCTACACATGTGCGTTTGACTTAGTTAGACGTACTGTAGATGCTAATATACCCCACCACAAACCTATAGTAAGCACATTTATTGGTTTCATCGGGGACAAGACGGCCCAATACGGTGGTGGAGCTCCCTGGTAGGCTTCCTATTATACTGTACATTACATGAGGTTCGTAGTCTATGTCTTAACCCACACTGCCAGTCTATGAGGTTACGTGAACAAGATACTGAACGATGTACTTCCTCTTCCATCCCACACTGAGAGTCCTTTAACGTCCGTGTTCTCAGCATCATGTCACCCACGGAAAAGTTGACCCTGAATTCGAAATCTATCAGAGATTTTTATAAGTCTTGACTGGATACACAGACGGCTCGAGGATTTGTGTCCGGCTCAAACGAAATCCCGGTGACAAATTCTTCAGATTCACTTTCATATCTTAAAGCAGTTACCAATGCAGAGGCTGGAATTATTGATATGAAGCTCACTTCATTAATAGTTAACATACTATTGTCTTGATGTTGGTGGCGTTGTCACCGTAACATCCGAGGCAATGAAAAGACAGACCATCATGTTAAGTCGACCACAGGCCTTAGTGTGACTGTAGATAACACGGGAGTAACGGCCTTGTAACTCTTTGGAGAAGACGTTACTCCGGCAAGGGTGGCAAAAAGGCCTGGGCCAACTATCTGACAACACTCAAAATTAAAACAGAGGTAAATAACTAAATGCACCTTCTTCAATCTCACGTTAGACCTGCCACACGTGCCAGCAGCCGCCCACCATTTACCATCTCTTCATAAAGTCAAGGAAATACGAAAGTTAAGGCAGCAAACTCCAAGCAAAAGGTTGGGCTATAAGCGTGTTAGTAAGATTATAGCCATCACACCAACCGTTACTGGTAGAGAGATTATGTCCCGCGGGGGATGATATCAACGGAGCCTCACCTCTATAACACGGTGTTCAATAATACCTAATAACGCACTCATGATACAAACAAATTATCATACACCGCGGAACAACGCACTCATGATACAAACAAATTATCATACACCGTGGAACAACGCACTCATGATACAAACAAATTATCATACACCGCGGAACAACGTACTCATGATACAAACAAATTATCATACACAGCGGAACAACGCACTCATGATACAAACAAATTATCATACACCGCGGAACAACGCACTCATGATACAAACAAATTATCATACACCGCGGAACAACTGAGCCAAGGTCTTAAGATTACAATCCTCAGAGACTATGCAGGAAGTATTGACATCCGCGACATATTTCTGGTCATCAGTCGCCACCAGCTACATGTTAGCCTCTTGTCCTACTACTGTACACACTACCTGAAACCATTGAATTAGAAAACAACAAGGGATATATATTATACTGCGTCGGGAACTGTCACTAAAGTATTCCTTCAATTTCACTCAGAGATCTGGAATGATTTTAGTGTTCCAGCCAAACTCTGTTAGTGTATTTGTTAACTGAGTTGAATAATATAATGTTTGCGGAATTTGTTAAGGCTAAAATATTAATGGTTGAGAATGGAGCTTTTATTCACAGGTCTCTCTCTCTCTATCTCTCTCTCTCGCTTTCACTGTCTGTCTGTCTGTCTCTTTCTCAATCACTGTCTGTCTTCCTCTCTCACTTTCTCTCTTCTCTGTTCTCTGTCTCTCTCTCTCAGTAGCTCTCTCTCTCTCTCTTTTTTTTGGCGCGCTAAGCAATACAATTAATTATCACCACATGTTTTTCAGTTTGTTATCAGCTCTGGCCAGATTCCACCCAACTACAGGTCAGTTGTTGTGTTTCAATACATTTTTTCGATGATTTAGTTACGTGGTCAATATTGGTCCCTTAATTATCGCTGTTCTAATTACCATGAAATTCATCTTAAAAAATAATTTGCTTCTCTTGTAATATTTTTTTTTATTTGTATTATGATCTATGAGCTAATACTAACTCTCTTATTGTTCTTGTACTTTATGGTTATTATTATTATTATCGTTATTATTATAATTATTATTATTATTATTATTACATTATTATTATTATCATCATCATCATCACCATCATCATATTATTATTATTATTATTATTTATATTATTATTATTATTATTATTATTATTATTATTATTATTATTATCGATTACAGTGTTACTACTTCAAGTTACCTCTTAACAATACGAAAAAACAGAAAGTTCTTGGAGCAAATAAGATCATTAATGGTATTCATTTTTTGTAGATGATTAACCTGTCAGGGTTATCTGTCCTCATGAACAACTAAGCGTTAATTACGTAAGGCTGCGTAAGGTGTCACCCTTCTCTCTTGTTTTTCAAAGTTACTCGTACAGTCATTAACGTGAGAGCGTTTAAAGTTTGATTATCCAGATTGAGCAGATTTTTATCACTGTGAAGGCCTAGAGGATTATGATTAGATTCAGATGAAGATAATCTGTCAGACTTATCACTGGGGTTGAGGATGGTGGAGGGAACTTAATGGAGAATTACAGTGAAAATAGTGAAGGCAAGAGAAGGAACATCACACATGTACAGGAAGTAACTTTGGATTATCTTTTGTGCAATAGTCTTAAGTAGTACAGCGAGGGGCATTATTCCCTATAAAAACAGATATAACAATTGGTTAGAAGTTAGTAAAGTTACGTAGAAGCCGGAGTAAGATCTTTGGCGCAGGTTATTATCACCAGAAAGCTGTATGGGGGGTTAAAAGTATATTGAAGAGTTTGTTATTGTGTCGTAAGAAAACAGTAATATAAAGAAGAGAACCTTGAGGTACTCTGCATAGACAGGGTAGTTGCCAGAGTGCGGGGTGACGAGAACAACAGAATGATCCTGGATGTTATTCTCAGGTCTGTTGGTACATAAAAAGTTGCCTACATTAGCCCAGAATAAGATAAAATTGCGCTAAGAAGGCTGTACCTACTGTCTCTTACTTAGTGGCTTACAAGATACCGAGCGCTGCCCCGCTGTGCCAGAAAGGACCAAACAACACGTCCAACGACCCACTTACCGCCGCCTCGCCAGAGAAGGGTGATGGTATGTGTCCTGTATCTCAGAGTAACCTTGTGTCCTGTAGCGAGTCTTATAACTTCTCGTAAAATTATGTTTAGGTTTCAATAACAATTAGACTGTTAAAAAAAACATCTTTGGTCATCTCTGATATATTCTATATTTCTAAATATTTTGGTTAGATAACATGTTAACGGTTACATATTTCCCAAATTTCTTCACAGAGAATTACGAGGTGAAAATGTTGAGAAAACGGCTACACAGTAGAGTGAGCAGACAGGAGGGTAAGTAGGAACTTTGTTAATAAGGATTTGTGTATCCTCTCTTGGATTAGTTAATACAGGACAGAATATTTTCGTATTTTGAGAGAGAATTTGCATTAATTATATTGAATATCAAACTTGCCTTAAGCGTTATTATCTGTATAGCACGAAATAAAAGTAGGTCATTCCTGTTCATAATGAAGTGAATATTCAAAAATTAAAAAAGTAACGTCTTTTGCTATGTGTCATAATTTATAATGAAATATACATATAATTACCTTTATATGTATATAAGACCTAAGTTGCATGTACCATACTTTATTAAAATAAATAATTGGTGAACACAAAAGTCAATAACATGAATGTTTAAGAATTGCAACTCTCTCCCTCCCCCTCTCTCTCTCTCTCTCTCTCTCTCTCTCTCTCTCTCTCTCTCTCTCTCGTCAAGACAAAAATAATCCTATCTCCTGTGATCTAAGTCTTGTAGCTGTGTCGGTATACAACAAAACAGAAAAAAGGTGTTTTACTGAACACCGAACTTATCGCTATTGTATGTACAGTGATTCAGTTGAGCAGCCTCACAACAGGTGCCACTGAGGACGGGGACCTTCAGGCTGAAAATAAGATGAAAATGGGAAAATTACGAAAATATTCCGAACAATTCTTGAGGAAAGCTGTACTCTATGGCTATTGTAGGGTTACGTGATATTATGTTGTCTAGCACTCAGGATGGGATTGATGGAAACTCTAGGTGGTGGTTTTCTTGTATAATATAAGTTATATGATAGACAGTCTGGTGCTGGAGATGCCGTGTGGTGAGGAGCTGCTCAGTAGACACGTTCGGTGAGTAGCATGTTGAAGGAGGTAGATGTGGAGGAGCTTCGTTAGAGATGTTGCCTGTTGCTGGCCTCCAGGTTGAATGAGAGCTGGACAGCGAGGAGCTTGCTTGGAGGAGGTGCTGCGTGTTCAGGAACCGAGGCCAGACTGAATCTCAATGGAGAGACAGAGCTTATATACACAGCAGCCGGAAGTAAACCCGTGGGAACTCGCCGGTTTCTTGACTCCGTTGCTAGGGAAGACGTAGCAGGTGGCTGGTTGCTAGGATACTGTGGCATTGGAATGCGGATACGCAGTTGTAGGGGAGACGTCCACTCACTACACTATCATCTGACGTATTTTGATTGCGCAATTCGTAATTGATATTTATGTAGCTATGCTTGATTGCTCTACCTCCATCATTTAGAGGGCCTTTCTGTTTACGTTGCAAGAGCCGTAGAAAAGATTTATAATAATAGTTTAGTGTAGTAATACCAATCACTTGGTAAAAATCAGTATCTGGCACCTTTCTCAGCTAGCTTACAGCAGGACCAGACTCTACGGGCGCTACAGTTACCCCTGAAAGAAGTGAGGGTGAGGCTAGACCTTTCGTTCCTCTCGCACCACCGTTCTCGGCCGTACCTCAGAACGAGTTTTTCTAACCTTCATATCATCTAAGGCTCGGCCATTTATGGACCGATTCTAATAAAACAAAAACTATGTAGTAGAATAACATATTGTTCACGGCTAAACATATAGATTTGTTTATATTTAGCTTCGTTTATTATTTGCTGATTTATCTTTTTAAATATTTGGAGGAAAAAAATGGTAAGTTAGGAAAAAAATCATGCACACAAAACCGATAATGAGAAGTAGCTAGAGTGAGGTTTAAGGGGAGTAAATTATCTATACTCCAATTGAATGTCAACATAATCTTGGGAGAAGTTATAAACAAGCAGGATTTTGAAAATTGATATAAATATAAGGGAAAAATGAGGGGTCAATATTGAGGAAGTGTCACCAGAGACCTGAGTATTAAAAGCAGGGTTTTATAGTGTAACTCATCGCGTTAAATACAAATGTAACATTCATTACCGTCGGAAATGAGGCATAGTGAAGATATTGGACAAAAAGTGGTAGGTCAAACAATGTCAAAAGGTAAAAAAATAAATTAAAAACCTCACCTAACCTAACCTAACCTAACCCCTAGTGCATGAGAAACTTACCTTAAGAGACACAGGAGGAAGTGGCCATCAGTGTCCGCCTCTTACCACAGTACCATGCAGGGTGATCTACACGGTACTAACAATGAGTTACATCTCCGACACTTTATAGATGAAACTAAAACACCGTGAGTCCTATAAATGACAACGGCTGCTGCTTCATTGTCTAAAATGCGCTGAATAATGCGCCAGCCAACCAATGTACATCCATTTCCCACAGACGCAATCTTCCAACTGGCCGCGAACACTGATTAGCACACGAGTATGGCGTCACATCAACACTCACGCTGATTGGCCAAATATTATATTTTCTTTTTCTTTACTTTTACTCAAAACTATACATTACCGCTGAAAATTTTATAGAATAGATTATTTTAATTAATTTTTTCTCTATCTCCCCATATATGACTCATGTCCCTGGTAACATAAGAACATAAGAAAATAAGGAGTCTGCAATAGGCCGGTTGGTCTGTGCATGGCAGCTCCTGTCGAGAGTTACTACCACTCTCTATCATCCATGAATCTATCTAGCCTCCTTTTGAAACTTTCCAGAGTTCCCGCACTTACTACAAAGTTGCTAAGCTCGTTCCACTCGTCCACCACCCTATTTGTGAACCAGTTTCTTCCTATCTCCCTCCTAAACCTAAACTTATCCAACTTGAATCCGTTGCTCTGAGTCCTATCCTGCTCGGATATTATAAGAACTTTATCTATATCCCCTTTATTGATTCCTTTCACCCACTTAAATACTTCTATCATATCTCCCCGCACTCTTCGTCTTTCTAGGAATTGCAAGTTAAGTTTCTTTAGCCTATCCTGATATGGAAGGTTTCTAAGTCCTGGAATCATTTTTGTCATTCTTCGCTGCACCGACTCTAGTGAATTTATACCCATTCTATAATAGGGGCACCAGAACTGAACCGCATAATCGAGGTGTGGCCTGACTAGCGCAAAATATAGTTGCAATAAGACCTCTGCACTCTTGTTACTTATACTTCTAGATATAAATCCCAATACTCTGTTTGCCTTATTTCGAACATTAACGCACTGTTTTCTAGGCCGTAGGTCCGGGCTTACAAGTACCCCTAGGTCTCTTTCACAAGTCGACTTTCTGTATATTGACCAAACGATGTATCAAGGCTATAGCATCAATGTATCTAGTGTCCTGAATTGATGACAGGAAATTAATATTGATTGATCAATTATTAACGAATTTCGTGCTTCGGGATATATTTTTCCATTGCCGTGTAATATGAGAATAATATAATTGACATTGCTGGATTCCTTGCAAGACTGCCAGTATTTTGAATATAAAAGTCATATATTTTGCACAAAAGATAATTTTTTTGCTCTTTCTAATAAATATCTTAAATTAGATCTAAAATTTGTACGTCTAATGCAAATTTTATGATGTTTATATTTAAAATAATCACAATCTTATAAGAATACCAGCAATGTAAATTATATTCTGGCCGGGTAATTTGTATGAATTTTATGAGCTAAAACAAATATCTTCAGTAAATAAACAAATTATACTTTACCTGCGTAAATGATGAAATTTATGGTGTAATTAAAACATTTCATTCTGGCAAGGTGTCGTGTGAATGACCAAACGCGTTAACAAAAACCGTGTAAATCCAGACTATACTGAAGGTAATACTTCTTTCATATTATAGTCGGTTTTTTATATGTTGCATTTAATGTATGTAAATAAATAATTGCTTAAACATCTTCACTTTTAAGATATAAGTAGAGAGAAATGTTTGATATGAAGAAGATTTACCGTCGAAGTGTCAAACAAATTTATTGTTTTGGAGAACACATTCACCACAATTTCTCTTTTCACTAATTATTATGTATATAAAGACAAATGACACCAATCACCAAACGTTACGGGGAGATAGTGAGCTTGGAGGAAGAACCGCTGAACCTGGCCTCTCTATAGTGATGAGATCAAGGCCTGACGTCATATCCCGGTCGGGGCCGCCAACTTTGTTAACTAAACATGTTCATACACTTTGTGCTGCCGCTCCCAAAATTTGGATCCATTATAGAATCCTGCAGGACATATAGAAGTACCCAGAGGGACAGGAGAGATTCTATATCATTACATCGGTAAGTGTTGAAGCTGTAATTAAGTTATATCAAGCAGACGTCATATGTTTATCTTTCGGGTTGCTGTTGTTTCCTGTAATCATGGGTTTCCACAGGATTTTTGCCAGGATAGGGGAGGGTTAGAAACAACAAGACCTGGCATGTCGGTTTATTCAAAACAGGTATATACAGTACAGCCATATACAAGTAATCGACTTACTTTAGAGTAATGAATGATCAGCAATATCACTTATTAGTATTATGACCAAATTATTATTCACTAAAATTAGCATAAGGTTGATCTTAATTATAAATTAACGATAATAATTCATTTGATATCATTAATCTTGAAAATCTCGGGATTGCAGGCGGTGCTGATCAGCTCCAAAACGATCAACCATTTCCTCAGTAAAGGCTTTCTTTCCATCTAATACGTTCTGGAGATCCACGTTTAGTATGCACCCCCTGTGGACGCCCATGTCTGTTATATTATTTGGTATAATATGTCAACCTGCTGGGCAATGTGCACAACCAGGGGGCGGGAGTGATTGTACAACATTCCAGCTGTTAGTGCTGTAAATTGTAATGGAGTTAGATCAAGTAGATGTGCCAGTTTAGTATAGGCTCTCCCTTCATGCCTTTAACAGTTTCCCAAAGATATCATGTGTAAATACTTTATGTCCCCCCTGGTGATGTACACTCGGTGGAAAAAAAACCTTGAACGAAGGTTTTTGATAAAGGCCAAAGAGGCACAAGGTTATTCACCAATCATATTGAAACAAATTAATTTTATATTTCGAATGACATAACTAAGTTTGGTCTACCATTATAGGTTGTAAATGGCTCACAATCACGTCTACCAATCCTAGTTCTAAAATCCTCGGACCACTCTTAAAAGATACTCCTTTTTTCTTCTTTTTTACCAAGTTTATCCACATTGTTTAATTTGCAAAATAAGGCTGCGAGTTAGATAAACTATATTCTATGAAATGCTGCATTGTTTTGTGTCAACCAATATGGCCACTTGGCCCGTCCACTGGCTTCACGAGTCCTGCATGGAGGATGACGTCATGCCTCCTCCATGTATTAATGCTCCTTGAGTGGTATGATTAACTAATGATGGAAGGATAGCCGTGTGTGTGATTGTGTGGACATATTATGATTGTGAGAAATATCCCACACTTTTACATATCCTGATATTCCTGTGCTAAGGTTAACATTTTAGGTGAAGAGATCATAGTAGTTTATATATTTCATCCTTGTTAATAAGATTAATACACAGGCTTTGTGTTAAATAGAACAAAGCTTAGGACAGCTTTTGTTGCCCTTGTGGTAGCATTCCCTGCTCACATGCAGAGGTCCCAGGTTCGATTCTTGACTTGTGAGGTAATATATATATATATATATATATATATATATATATATATATATATATATATATATATATATATATATATATATATATATATATATATATATATATATATTTAATAACTTTCGTTAATAGAAATAGTTGTTGTGTGAATTTGAGAAATTGACTTAGCAGATGTTGAATCAGTGGATTGTGCCGACGATGCTGCTATCTGTTCTTAATTTAGGCAGAGTAGTCCCTAAGTTGGTTCAGTAAACATCTTCTCTAGCGCTATTCATTGTCAACTTTCGATTGTCAAGTTTTCAGTAATTCACACTTGATATACTAACCATTAACCTATGGAAGACTCCATGGTGTACAACTGAAGTTACAAACACCTGAAGCCAACATAATCGACCCATTGTGTTCCCATAAATGTTTCTAACCTACTCCCATTTAAAACCTTGCAGTAGTATATGTAAGCTTTATGAATTAAATGACATTCATATGTGCATGCGCAGGTAGGCAGAGCTTACTGGGTCAGCCACCCCTGCTGACCCAGGCTCTCTGTCTGTCTTCTTAATTACGAAATTATCCAGTCGAGCAAGGTTAACACAGTATACCACTAGAAATATACAATAGGAGAGAAGATGCTTACCTTACAACTGCCAGCACAATACTAAAACCTGGAACAATCTACCAGAGAGTGTTGTGACGGCACCGAGTGTGAGCTCTTTCAAGAGAAGACTTGACCAGGGTTGCCAAATCGGATTTTCAAATGTCGCTAGGCTGGTACCTAAAAGTAGCTAAATGTCGCTAAATCTTCCATGGAAAGTCGCTAGCTATTATTCCCCCCCTTCAGTAATTTGATGCAAATAATATTTTCATAATGCCGACTATAATGGACGGAGTATAAATAAAATGCATTATGTAAAAATAAAAATATTATTTTTTTTAAAGTTTAATGTGCACACTTACCTATTATTCAATAGTAATTGCATCCCAGTCCTCTTGGTAGTGTGAACAACTGTAGAGCTGGAAGCATGTGAAGTGCTTGGTTCAGGTTCTCTTGTAACTGTATGCCTCCACAGTCCCTATCTTTCTTAAAATATTACTAGGAAGTTCATAACTTGCATAACAGGTGTTCTGTCTTTTTAACCCATACTTTATTGTAAGAATTGCCTTTAATGTCCATAGTTTCATTTTGTTGCGCAATTTTGATTTCACAAAGTTCATATTACTAAATGTACGCTCTACATCTGCGTTTGAATGCGGAAGAGATAAGGCAGCGAGTGCAATTTCAGCCAGATTATGGTAAGGGTTTTCACCTGTCGCATCTCTGTAATTTGCCACTTCTGACCACAATTTTAGGGTGTTAGATGCATGGACGGGCTGACATCAAGTGATCAGGAAATAGACGTGTCCCTCCTTCTGTACCACGACCCGTTCAAATGTATTAAACTTTTCTTATTATTTATTGTCCCTGTAACCCCGTTGCTATATATTATGGCTCGAAATTAGGAAAACTGAGTTTTCATGGACAGTCCAAAAGTATCCAGAAAGTCGCTAGATTTCTGTGGATATCTCTAGATTTGCGACAAGTCGCAAATCGCTCTAAAATGTCGCTAGAAAAAAACAAAAAGCTCTAGATCTAGCTCCAAAGTCGCTAAGTTGGCAACTCTGGACTTGACCAACACTGGAGCGGGTTCAGGTACATTCAGGAGCCGGTGCATGCCCAGTACTTGCCAACAGTGTGTAACAGAGACGTGACCGATCACCCGGGCGGCTAACGAGTCGATCTTTTGGTGAAGAATATAAATGAAAAGAGACGTGACCGATCGCCCAAGCGGCTAACAAGCCGATCAGTGGCGAAGAGGATAAAAGTAAAACCACCCGGCTCTGAGAGTTAAACAGAGCGAGCAGAGGTTGGCGGAAATGACGTCATAACAAAACACGTTCAAGTTGCGAATCCACAAATACGTATCAGACGCTCACTCACTCATTAGTATTCGAGACTAATACAATAAACATTACATTGTTTTGCCTAACACATTGAAACAAATGTTACTACATTTTAAGTATAACCCATATCTTAATTTTAACTTGCTTCAGTGTGCACACAACGAATCAGACGAAGTTCATATGCCGACCAGTAATCTATTCATTGGTTCTTATTCCGACACTCGTAACAAGTGAAATGACCTCGAACAATAAACACTCATGCGAGCCCCATCCAGCCATGTGAAGAAGAATAACAGTCACCTTACTAGAGGAATGGTGCTTTGAATAATGTAATGAACAAATAAAATCAGAACAACCTTCTTCAGGCAAAAGTGAAAATAAATATAATTATCAATAATTTAGTTATAGATCGGTACAGAAAGAACATAAGAATTTTTTTACTATTACAGAAGATGAGAGAATAGAGCAGGATATGGACGGCCCTTCCTTCAGGCTGTGGGAAAACATGGGCTCTGGAACGCCGTGCAACAACTACGTCACCAGGTAACTACAGTACAGTAAATATAATCCCTGGCATTAGGAACATTGAGTATAGAGACAAATGTATTAAAGCATTTGAATTTGCACTCCCTCGAGAGACGTAGAGTGAGGGGCTATATGATAGAGGTGTATAAACTGAAGACGGGGTTAAACAAAGGTGATATAACAGACGAGTGAACTTGTAACAATGGTTTTAAATTAGACAAATTTTGATTTAGGCCCCAGATAGGTAAACACTGGTTTGGAATTCGAGTAGAGGATTAGTGAAACAAATTACCAAACATCATCATTAACTCGAACACGCTGGGTAGTTTCATATATAAATTGGACAGATATATAAGCGATAGGGGTTAGTTGTAATCGGGACTGCCCGGTATAGGCCAATAAGCTCGCTGCAGTTTCCGCCATTATTATGTTCTTATATAATGTGTTAAGAATCTTTAAGTAAACCTTGAAACCAAGTCATTACTGAGGATGAATCCAGGGTGACACCAGACAAAATATTTAAGCCACTACACTAAATAAGGAAGGTATGGGTGTATCTCGACCTATTTTTTTTTTATTTGTATTTTTTTTTACTTGTATTAGTCCACCCGGGCACAGCTCACTGACCCACATCAGGGCCTGGGGGCGATAATGTAATAATAATAATAATAATAATAATAATAATAATAATAATAATATTAATAATAATACAGAACCAAAAAAGAAAAAAAGAAAATCAATAGTGAGAAACAATATATGTATTTGAGACCTTGCAATTGTGTGTAAATGAGGCAGAAAGTTAGATCATCAACCTGGGACTTGGTCACATGGCGGCAGGGTCTACCATTAGACAACACATTATGCTTCCAATATATTCCCAGGCGGTAGTGCCTCCCTGTTTGGTAGCTGCCTACTACCTACTACCTTTAAGGAATAAGAATGTGTCTGGACTTTGTTGAGGGAATAGGGATGGGTCTACACCGTGTTGGGGGAAGAGGGATGTGTCTAAACCTAGTTGAGGAATGATGATGTGTCTAGACATCGTTGAGGGAAAAATTATGTAGCTTGAGGAACAGCGATGTGGCTAGACATTGTTGAGAGACTAGGGATGTGTCTAGAGTGTGTTGAGGAACAGAGATGAGGGTAAACTTAGTCAAGGGGACAAAATGTGACTAGACCTGGTTGAGGGAGGGAGAGATGTGATTAGACCTTGTCGAAAGAACAGAGATGTAGCTAAACCTTGTCAGTAGGTACATGTTGACTTCTTCTTGAAAGAGAGATTGAACAATTGCTGCTGTAGGTAGTGCTGTTGTATCAGTTGTTTTGTAGTTGTGTAAGTTGTGTTGTTCTTATATAGTTCATTTTGTAGTTATTTTGGTTGTGTTATAGGTTGTGTTGTAGTTGTAACAATGGGGGTTGTGGAGTAATAGTATATGTTGTGGTGTAACAGTGCAGGTTGTGGTGTAACAGGGCAGGTTGTGGTGTAACAGGGCAGGTTGTGGTGTAACAGGGCAGGTTGTGGTGTAACAGGGCAGGATGTGGTGTAACAGTGCAGGTTGTGGTGTAACAGGGCAGGTTGTGGTGTAAGGTTGTGGTGTAACAGTGCAGTTTGTGGTGTAACAGGGCAGTGGTGTAACAGGGCAGGGTGTAACAGGGCAGGTTGTGTAACAGTGCAGGTTGTGGTGTAAAGTGCAGGTTGTGGTGTAACAGTGCAGGTTGTGGTGTAACAGTGCAGCAGGTTGTGGTGTAACAGGGTTGTGGTGTAACAGGTTGTGGTGTAACAGGGCAGGTTGTGGTGTAACAGTGCAGGTTGTGGTGTAACAGTGCAGGTTGTGGTGTAACAGGGCAGGTTGTGGTGTAACAGTGCAGGTTGTGGTGTAACAGTGCAGGTTGTGGTGTAACAGTGCAGGTTGTGGTGTAACAGGGCAGGTTGTGGTGTAACAGGGCAGGTTGTGGTGTAACAGTGCAGGTTGTGGTGTAACAGGGCAGGTTGTGGTGTAACAGGGCAGGTTGTGGTGTAACAGGGCAGGTTGTGGTGTAACAGGGCAGGTTGTGGTGTAACAGGGCAGGTTGTGGTGTAACAGGGCAGGTTGTGGTGTAACAGTGCAGGTTGTGATACAATAAGATAAGTTGTAGAGCTTAGTGAAACAGTATGGGCTGAGTTATAACGGTGTATATACAAGTATTATTATATTACAGTCAGGGCCGGATTCAGGAGTGGGCAAAGTGGGCAGCTGCACAGGGGCCTCCACAATCTGGGGGCCTCCACATATTACAATATTTTATTTATTTGTTTATTTATTTGTATTATTATTTTCATTCTTTAAAATTCATGTTTATCTATTCCATCACGTAAAACTATGTTCAGCAAGAAGCGTGATAGAAATTAGGCTAGCTACTCCTTGAAATTCATGAATAATGCAAAGAATCATCTCTCTGTAATAACTAATAATATATTCTTTTCTGTGAAGTCTCTTGAAATTTTTTGACATGTGCGGTAGTAGCTATATCAGGGCTGGTCGACTTGAACCCACATGAATGACTCCAGTCATGTCTCACTTTTGTGTGTGTGTGTGTGTGTGTGTGTGCGCGTTGGGAATTTGTACACTATCAATAAACATACAGTTAATTAAAAATTTCTCAATGTTCTAATTTCCTCAATATAACTGCATATGGCTTCAAAATTCTCCAAAGAAGTGTTCAAATTTCACAATTTTCCCGGGGGGCTTACAGCGCCCCCCGGAACTCCCAGATGTTTAGGCTCGCTTCACTCACCACCCCACCCTCTTGGGTAGTTATAATGAGGGGGGCCTCCACAAAGAGGCTGCCCATGGGCCTCCACAGGTCTAAATCCGGCACAGATTACAGAGTAAGTTATACCTGGTGATAATCTTTATTTTCTGTGACGGACTGAAAAAAATAAGGTATTGTAAAACGGATTTGTTTTTATTTACATATTTTTATTTTATCCCAACCGTGATTATGAGGTAGAAACTTGGTCAAATTCAATAGTAATAAACCTCAGTATTTACCAATTACACTTTCCAAAGTAGATGATCTCCCACCAATCACATTTCAGGACGCAATCATTCTGCCAAATTCAAAAATAGATATGCTAGGCCTCACCATTTCCTCTGTGTCATGGAAGCCAGACGTCCACAACATTGCTAAAGCTGCCTCCTTCACTCCTGAGCAGTTGCTCCAAGTATATAAGGGATTCATTCGTCCTAACTTGGAGTACTGCTCTCATATCTGGGGTGGCTCTTCTTCTGTCCAACTATTAGATAGGGTGGAATCAAAGGCATTTCGTCTTATTAACTCTCCTCCTTTAGTCGACAATCTCTCTCCCCTTTCTCTTCGCCGCAATGTTGCTTCACTCTCTCTCTTTTACAAGTACTTTAACGGGCAATGTTCGGTGGATTTGGCATCCTGTGTACCGCCGGCAAGGCCGTGGGCTCGTAACACTCGTCTTGCCCGCGGTGCCCACCGTTTCTCTGTGGATGTCGGTCACACTAGAATAACCAGTTATGGTACCTCCTTCTTTCCTCACACAGCCAAACTGTGGAATGCTCTGCCTTCTGTGTTTCCATACTCATACGATCTGTCTCACTTCAAAAACTGGGTTTCCAGCATCTTCGTGGTGTAGATTAATATAACCTTTTTCTTTTCCATTTTTAATTTCTTTTTACTCTTTTTTTCACCCCCTAAGCCCCGATATGGGTTGATAACATGTCCCCCGGTGGGCTATTCCCGCAAAAAAAAAACAAAAAAAAAAAACGTTTGATACATCAGATAAGATTATAAGGAGCGGCCACAATTTTCTAGGTACAGCAGATTTGTGTTACAAGACATACATGATTATTTTGTTTTGACTTTATGGTGATGTGAAGTATTGACTGTGGAGTACACAAGGTGTATCATTGACAGGTTTGGGCGGCGTCTGCCGAGGGTGTACCTGGTGTCATTTCCTCTCTCCGGAAACACCTGGACACGTTACCTGTTGGAGGCCGCCACAGGGGTCTTCTCCGGCTCCGTCTACAATGAAACAACTCTTTATAACAACGGTGAGTGAACTACCCAAGTTTAACCTCTCATTAAGTCATGTGTGGAGGAATAATAAGCCCTCGGGTTAACTAACAATAAGGCGTCTGAGTGAACAGCACCATGGTTCCAGTGACCTTTAGAGGACAGGGTTCCTCTCACCTGAATAAAATCGTCTGGTTATAGCAAGGATATGTTCTATAGCTGTCTTGAACTTATCAAGGAGCTCCTCACTCCTACACTGGCCAATATCATTGCCTCCTGCACTGAGGCAGATAATGGGTTTGTTCCCATTACCAGACAAGATATTGTCCATCCTGTCAACTATATCCCCCACCCCAGCTCCTGGCAAACACACCCTCATCCTATTTTTGTTTTTACCACAAAAAGCTCTATCCAGGTACCGTACCTGGGAATCGCCAACAATTAAGGTTTTCGTACCGTCCTTGTCAGACCTGTCCTTGACTATGCTAACGTCCAATTCCTCTATGAAAAGACTAAAAGAGTTTTTACACTTAGCTGTTGTCGTTTCCTTGGTGTCTTTTCTCACGGCCAGTTTGGTCGTTCTTCTCCTCACAACCTTCCATTCGCCTGAGTTTTCGTCAGACACGGTCTTGTCTCGTGTCTTCTTTCTTCATCCTCACTATTACTTCTCAAGTTTTCTTCCTTGACTTTCACTAACTTCGCCAGTAGCTCTGTCCTCAGAAGGGCACAGCCCTGCTCACAAGTAGCACGAGCCATTAATGACAATTAATCCCCAGGAGCTAAGTCTGCCGTGACGTTTCCTCTAGCGAGGTCAGAACACAACTGTACACAACTTCATCACGAATTATTCTCCTACCTATTGCCTTTTTTAATTATAATTATTTATTCATTTGGGGTCATTGTTATTTGATATGAGCTTTCTGTATGGTGTATTTTGCGTTTGTGCATTAAGTAACTCGTTATTTAAATTGTTGTGGAACTCGTCAACCTCAGATCTCGTGATCAGGTCATCGTTAACCGTCATATTTTGTGAGGATATCGTTGTTAGGTCTCCAGGTAAAGTGATGTCGCCCTCTGTCAGTACATTGTGTGATACCCCTTTTCTCAGCTGCCTTTTTAAACAATCAAAGTTTGCCTTTCTGAAATCTGGGATTTCAATGTAATTTTCCTTGCGACTGACATTAAATTCTATTTTGAATCTCACTTCTTTATGATCGGTGTTAGCTAGTTCGTTCCCTACCTCGACATTGCTAATGAGTCTTTTTCTCTTTGACAGAACTAAATCGAGTATATTATTACCCCGGGTGGGTTCGACTATATTTTGACTTAGGAAACAGTCCTGAACTGTTTCAAGAAAATCCTCTGATACTAAGTTATCCTTAAGGTCGGTCCAATCTATTTGACTAAAGTTAAAGTCGCCTACTATACAGACTTTGCTATGTCTGGATGCCCTGTACATTTCATCACAAATAACTCTCTCATTAACTCTATCAAGATTAGGGGGTCTCTATATTACTCCTTTGATTAATTTTTCTCTACCAAATGTTAATTCTATCCAAATTGTTTCTGTATTCAGTTAAATTTTTATTTCCTTATTGATTTCACACTTCAGATTATCCCTGACGTAGATTGCTACTCCGCCTCCTTTCCTAATCTGCCTATCGGTATGAAATAATTTGTAACCTGTAATTTGGTATTCGACAGGTAACTCACGTGAGTCTAAGTTTATCCATGTTTGCGTAGTAGACATTTAATAATAATAATAATAATAATAATTAGCGGTTTATTGAAAGAGCATAGCAGCCAGAAGGCTGAAAATATACATTTACATAATTGGGGAATGGGTTTCGATTTACAAATAATACACAAGTAACATAAGTGGTACAAATATGATATATAATAACTAGGTGGGGAAAAGCTCAAACTACAGGGCATTTCAACATAGTGACAGTGCAAGAAGTAGGATTGACTGGGAGTGAATACACTGGTTTATTACAAGTTACTGATAATTTTTACAATGGTTGGGACTGGGCTGTTCTTATAGCGATCAGTTCGTGCACGTATGGGATGGATGCGGTTGTGGTGTCGAACAGCAATTCTCGGGCTAGGGATCTCAGGTGGTAGTAGGAGCCGGTGTCGAGGATGGTGCAAAAGCTTCTTACCAAATTTGCAGATGAGGTCGTGGTGATGGTCAGTGAGAGTCGAACGGGTCAGTGTGTTGAGTGCTTCTTGATATGTGGAGTAGGAAGGGGAGAGAATAATTTTGCATGCCCTCTTTTGCACTTTTTCTAGGTGTTTACGTTGTGTGGCATTTAGGGAGGAAGACCAGGTAGGGGAGGCATAGGTGAGCTTGGGAAGTATGAATGTTGAGTAAACACTGAGGAGCTCGGGTGCAGAAACTCCGAGGGACTTGAGTCGGCGGAGGAGGTGGAGACGGAAACTGGAGGATTTGAAAACTTCAGTGACGTGTGGTTTCCAATTTAGTTTGTTGTCTATGGTGACGCCGAGGAGCTTAGTGGAATCTACAACCTGGAGTGTGTTGGGACCTAAAGTAATGGAAGGGGGTGGGACAATGTCGGAGGAGAGATTGATGTGCATAACCATGGTCTTGGTATGGTTGATGGTGACGTGGTTGTTGGTGGCCCAGTTTTGGAGACTGTTCAATAAATCCTGAAGGGCGGTATAGTCGGGAGCAAAATTGTTGATGCTGATCCCAATAGTGGAGTCGTCGACATATTTCCAGCGAGCAAGGGTTTCTCTTAGGGCATCATTGATAAGCATAAGGAAGCATAGTGGTCCCATCTTGGTGCCTTGGGGGACGCCACAGGTCAGTGATTGAAAGGTGGAGACAGCCCCTTGGAAGCGTACAGCTTGGCGTCGGTCACTGAGGAAGTCTGTAAGCCATGGTATAAGACTTCTCCGAAGCCCGAGGTCAATAGCTTTGTTGATGATTAAATTGTGGTCGACTAGGTCGAACGCTTTAGTGAAATCAATGAAGGCGACAGCTACAGACGTTTTTCGTTTCTCGAGATGGCGGTATATGTAATCGAGAAAGCTGACAAGACAGTGAGTGGTGGAGGAAGTTTTCATATTGCCAAATTGCTGAGGGTCTACGACTCCTGCAATATCAGCATAAGCCCAGTCGAACACAAAACTTTCACAGATTAGGCTGGGTATTGGGGTGATTGCAATAGGTCGGAGCTGATTTAAGGATTGTGGGCTGGTTGACTTGGGCACTGGTGATACATAAGAGGTCTTCCAGTCAGCTGGGCATCTGGCTTGACTGAGAGAAGCATTGATGATGGAGCATAGGGGTTTAGCAAGCTCCGGGGAGAACTCCTTGAAGAGTTTCATTGGTAAGTCAATGGGGGTGGTAGAGCGTTTTAACTTTAGTTTGTCCAGACGTATTGCTACTTCAAATTCTTCTACTAAGTCAGTGGCAAGGGGGGCTGGTAGGTAAGCAGGGAGAGTTAGTCGAGAACTGAGTCCTCCCTTTGTTCTGCTTAGGTTTTTAACTCCCTGCCTAATTTATTTTTGTCATCATTCCTAGCACTTTTTTCTGTAACTTGATGGCTACTTGGCATGCCTAGGAGATGGAATGGTGCTACTGAGGTCTTTCCAGACATTATGAGACTTATCTCTGAAGCTTAACACCCCACTACCTGCAGCTGCTGCTTGTGAGCATCTGTTTAGTCAGGCTGGGCTCTTTATTTATTATTTAATTAAGTTATTTCACCCCAGGGGGCGACAAGCCTAGTCACAACGCCTTTCAGTCAGACACTAACACATTGCTACTAGTGTCTCACAGGACACGCTGTGACTTGTCATATGGTGACAATTGTTATGCCATAATTTATCAACTTGAAGTACGTTAAAGATTAATATACTTATGACGCCACATATGGCACAAAAAACAAATTGGCAACTCAGCACATCTTAGTCATGGGTTCAATCACAGCCCCTCTCTTTATCCCAACAGTTCAGGAGAGAAGGTGGAATTATACACATCACGAAAAGTCAAATAAAATGTAATAATAAGAGTTTACCATAATAAGTGTGTAGGTTACATCATGAACAGATAAATTAAAACAAGAGAATAAAGAATAAACAATCCTTAACAAACCACAAATATATGTACAGTAAATAAACCATAAACTATTTTGTAATACCCTGTATCACCATTGATTGCACTTTACACAAAATAAATAATAATAGAGAAGCACTGAATAGTTAATACTCAACTAAACCCAATTTGAAAAGGTATCCACCACTGACAAACTGAGATGTCCTCCTATTCCCAAGGACAGTGACTGACATCTCTCCATACTCCAGGGGACTACAAACCTAATACTGATATTAATCAACTCCGACATTAAGCTGCAAAAATACCTACATACATCCAGATTTTGTTTTATGTATCAAGTACCAGCCCTGCTCACACATAATGAAACCAAAATATTCTATTTACATAAATTGAGGGTAACATTCCTAAATATATTTCACTATGCACAGCACAATGCACCACTGTGCATTTCGTAATGCATAACACCCCCTCCTTAAAATAAAAGAGGTAGGGTTTTACATAGGCAACACACCGTTATCTGATCTGCCTAATATTGCCTAGACAGAGTATCAGCAATAATGTTATCCTTATCCTTCATATGTCTAATTTCAAGATTATACAGTTGGAGTGCCAAACACCAGCGAGTTAAACGCTGGTTTTTGCTCTTCATGCGAGTAACAAATTGCAAGGGGTTGTGGATGCTATATACAATGATTTTCTGGTTGCTGTTCCCAAGGTTTACATCAAATTTATCTAACGCCATTAACAATGCAGCTGCTTCTTTCTCAATGATAGAGTAATTTCTTTGATGAGGCTTAAATTTAGTAGATATGTAAGATACCGGGTGCAAAACATCATTATTACCCTCGCACAATAAAACTGCCCCAGCTGCTACTTCAATCGCATCTACTTGTACAACAAATGGCTTGTGAAAGTTTGGTCCCCATAATACTGGTTTACACATCAAAATTCCCT